CACTGTAAGTACCCTGTAAATCCACTGTAAGTACCTAGTAAAACTGCAGTGTAAAAACCTTTAACAGTATTCACACATACTATCTCCTGCCCCTCACCCAATGCATAGAAACACAGAAGTATAGAACACATTGAAGCATGCAGACATTACAAAAATATTTTCATCTATTACTATATGCTTTGTTGCTCATGATTATGTTAAACTGACATTCTACTTTCCAAAATGTGACAGGAGAGGAGCATGATGAGGGCAGTAATTGAAGACGATCTAATGAGATTGTCACAGGAAGAACTCATACTAAATGTGAGATACAATTGCTAAAACTCTAGGAATATGTTTAAAATACATAAAAGGGTAAAAAGTTAACACAATTATGATGCAGGAAACATTTTCTTTCACTGCGCTCCTTCATTCCGACATTATATACAAGGTAAGAATCAAAAATCAAAAAAATACCGAGTACATATTAGGTGATGTGTAAAAAAACTTGTGATGAACCTTGTAGGTACATTCAGGGGATGGATCTACGAACATTGCCGAAAATATCTACGAAAACTCCAGGAGCAAATCAAATGACAGTTTCATCACAACAAGAGATAACAATGTAAGCAAAACAACAGCTGAATAACTATTGCAAGAAAATGCCGAAGGAAAGCACACTAACAATCTTTAAACTTACTTTGCAGACACTCGAAGCAGACTTGCATCACGAAATGCCAGCGAGTGAAGGTGGGGGAGGAGAATCCGATCCCTGGGACACAAATCTGTTCTACAACATGAATCTGCAACAGGTACGCATCACAAAAATTCAGAAATACAGACGATGAACATAAAAGAAGTGCAGAGAACATATCAGAAGAAAGTAACTAAAACAAAATCCCTAAATGTAGCAGGAGCCTCAAGATGTTGATCCCAGCAGAGCAGCGGCTAACACGAACTCAAGCACAGGCATGAATGAAGAAGGAGAAAGATAAGAACCAGGACACTCACTTGAACAAGAAGGAGACGATGAATTCCTCGATGAAGAAGACATTGAAAGATTCCTGCAAAATGAACAAGAAGCTACATCAGAGGGCAATCTGATGAACACTAGCAGTAATTTCAAGCCTTATTTAGGCATGCAGTTCAAAACAAAGGAAGAAGCTCAGGAATATTTCAATTTCTACTCGAAAGTGGCAGGATTTTCAGTTGCTACAGTAGCAATCTCAAGAACAGCAAGCAAGAAAAGAAACAATGAGGTGACAAGGATCACTATGAAGTGCAACAAGTGGGGCAAGACAAAAGAAATAGAGAAGGAATGCATAGTACCCATGAGAAGATCTACAGTCATTGCTAAAACAGATTGTAAAGTTGTGATGGTCATATCTGAGAAAGGAGGCATATGGGAAATCACAAGACAACACCTAGAACACAACCATGAGTTAACACCAAACAGTAGATTCTTCAGGTCACATAAGTACATGTCGGATGAAGAGAAGTGCTTGATAAGAGTTTTGAAGCATACAAACCTGGAAACAAGAAGGATTGTTGCTGTCCTGGCTTACATAAGAGGAGGAATGGCTCATCTACCATACACAAAGAAACATGTCACTAACTATGCAGCAACAATAAACAGAGACATCACAAACTCTGACATGATGGAAGTAGTGCAAATGTTCAACAAGAAGCAAACAGAAAATCCTGGCTTTTGCTACTCGTTTGAGCTTGATGGAGAGAATAAAGTGAGAAGCTTATTCTGGACAGATGTGAGGTCAAGAATGATGTATGACATATGTGGAGATTGCATAAGTTTTGACACTACATTCCTAACAAACAAGTACAACTTACCGTTTGCACCGTTTGTGGGAGTATCCCCACACGGCAACACATACTTGTTTGCTTGTGCATTCATTATCAATGAGACAAAAGACACGTTTGCTTGGTTGTTTGAACAATTCCTGATGGCTATGGGAGGCAAGCATCCTATATCGATAATTACAGATCAGGACAAGGCAATGCAAGGAGCTATTGAACAAGTATTTCCTAATGCTACCCATAGGAGCTGCCTGTTTCACATAAAGAAAAAGGCAGAGGAGAAAGTTGGGCCTTGTTTCCAAGCTAATGAAGGCCTCTATGAAGATTTCCAGGACATTGTGGACAACTCCTTGACTGTAGAAGAATTTGAAACAGACTGGCAAGAAATGATAGAGAAATACCAAGTTCACCACATAAAGTACTTCGGCGACATGTGGGAAAACAGGAAAAAGTTCATACCAGTGTATTTCAAGGACAAGTTCTTCCCATTCATTCAAACTACAGCTAGAAGTGAAGGAACTAATGCCCTTTTCAAGAAAGGGGTTGAGGCTAAATTTAGTGCTACTAGCTTTTTAAGAGAGTATGACCGGATACTTGATGTTGTGCATGACAGGGAAGAAGAATGTGACCATGTTTCCAGAAACAAGAAGGTTGCAAGGAAATCCTTCTGGTCAAAATACAGCATAGAAAGGCAAGCACATGAGATGTACAACCTTGGAATATTCAGAAAATTCCAGTTTAAGATGGCAGATACAACAAGGTTGCATGTCTTTGAACAAGAAAAGGACAAATACTACATTGTTGCCCAGGCTGAAAACTACCCTCTAAAGGAACTCCGGAAAAGGTTATACCTAGTGCAAGTTGGATTGAAAGAAGAAGAATACTCTTGCATTTGTTGCACATTCCAGAAAGATGGACTGTTGTGCTCACACATACTTCGAGTAATGATACATCTCAACATTGAGAAGATACCAGAAAAATACATCATTGATAGATGGAGGAAAAATGACTACAAGCTAGATGTTACAAAGACACCAGCTGTTGCAGCTGAGAACTCCACACTAAGGTACAATGTGTTGGCAAGGAAATTGGTGCATGTGGCATCAATAGCTTCAAAGAAGAAGAGGAAGTATGAATATCTGCTGGGAGAATTAGACAGGATACAAAAAAGGCTCCGGGAAATGGATGATGAAGAAGAAACAACAGATGGGGGACAGAGTGTAGCAACAAGAACAGTTACATTCGTACCAACAGCAGGAGAAGGAGAAACAACAACACCATCATTCACAATACAAGAACCAGATATAGCGAAAACAAAAGGTAGACCAAGGATGCTAACTATTCGCGAAGCAATAAAGCAGAACAAGTTCTACAAATGCTCACATTGCGGGTCTGAAAGTCACACGCTGAAGAATTGCACAAACCTCGACAATACAACAAGCCAAAAAGGAAACAAGCAAAGCAGTCGAACCCAAGGAATGTCAAGAAAGGTAAGTTATAAAATATTGAAATGAGATATACTTGATTGCAAGAAAATAAATTAATAGTGGACACTGAACACAGGTGCAGAGAACAAAGGAGGCAACCAGAGGAGCAACAACAAGAGGAAGGGCAATATGACGGCGCAACACAATCCTATAGTAGAACCTCCGAAAGAATGAAGAAAACAAGATAGCAGAATATGAGAGAAGAAGAAAAGAAGACAGAACAAAGATGAGTAGGATTAGGAGTGAGCGGGAATACTACAAATGTAGTACGAATGTCTTATGATTAGAAGGAAAACTAGGAGAAAGGTTAGTAGTGAGAGGGAGTACTACTAATGTATTAGCAATATCTTATTCTGGTACCTAATTTCAGACAGCCTAGCCGAATTCAAAATTTCATTAAATTATGATACATTCAAATTCCAGAAAGGCAAGTAGACAAAAAAGTTAACGATTATTTAGCATTATTTTACCTGTACAAAAAATGATAACATAATAAAATACAACACGAAAATAAATGGGAAGAGTAAAAGTACAGAAAGCTCACATTACAGGACGAAGAGATGATTGTAGTTGCAGATATTGAAACCTGCCAGGAACAAATATTGCACCTTCACTGAAATTAAAAGAAGAGATTAATTGTTAGGAACATAATAAAACTAGAACCTATACACACAAAAAACACTTAAGCAACAAAGGGGGCTGGGTAAGAACCTTGACTTCAGAGAACATTCAACTGAAATGAGAAACAAACATGCAACAGTAAAGAAATAAAAGGAAAATAAACACAAAGAACAAAAGCAACAGATACAGACAGAAGAACATAACATTGCATACTATTACAAAAGAGTCATTGTTTCGGGACTACTATATTGTCGGCTTACAAACCAATGGAAAACACCAAACCATCAACAACAAGATGGCCTCAAAAGTAGTATTACAATCTATAAAAACGTCCAGAAACAATATGTATAGCTCAAAACTAAGCAGAGCCTTCTATCTTCCAATGCATCTCCCATAAACTCTAAGTCTTGACCTGTACAACAAAAATAGGCAAACATTGTTTTATGCTGAAAAACATTGTTTCCATCTGTATTACGTTCTACAGCTTACGTAAGCATCAAAGGAAATTCAGAAAAAAGCAGAAAAAAGTACTAAAAACTCACATCACCAAAGAAGTCTGTAACAAAAGTCTTGTCAACGCTGTTGAATGTACTGAAATACAACTCATTAGCCAATCTGATTCTTATGTTGTCGATATCAGCAGGACCAAACATATTTCCAATTGGGGTCCTGGGAGTCCAATACTTCAGATACATGATAGAGAAAACACCACAATCATGGCTGAAAGAAGAGATGACAAAGAAATAAAATTAAACCAAAATGATAACAAAACCAAAAAGAAAATTAATAGAAGGTGCACTGAAAAGAGAAAAGAGAAGAAGTACCAATTATCTTGCTGAGGTACACTAGGGTAAACAATATCAAAATTTTCAAAGTCAATACGAGTGCGCATGACAGGAGTCACAACCTGATCCCAGATGCTTATGAAATTTTCAATCTGCATCGAAGACAAAAATCACCAGTCTAAGTAACAATAACATTTTGATCCATCGAATGAATCACTCAATTTCTTTTTGAATACCATTGCATCACGAACTTCCTTGTGAAAATGAGACTTTGGCCCATAAGCAGAATCAAGAAATGCGAATGCCCTCTCCTTCAAGCAAACAACGAAAGTAAACCAGTGCTGATCCCGAGCAATAGGAAAAAAAGCTGCAAAAACAACACAAGAATAATTTTCATCATCAATGAATAGAACAGGAAAAAGAGGCAAACTAGAAGAAGGGGAAATGAGCTGAAAAGAAGAGACAAAAAACTACTTACCAGATTACTTCTCCACATTGCAAAAGCACTATTTGCACCATGAAATGCATTAGCTACAATCTCAATATTAACACCACTCAAAATGGTTTCCTGAAAAAGCAAAAAACAACAATTACCCCAATGTAAGGACGAATAAGAAAAAAGATAACATACATACAACTTACCCCAATGTAAGAGAAAAAGAAGTGCTTCTTTGAAGCTGATGGATGAGATTGTTTGAAAAGATAACGACAGACACACAGAATCAAGAAATTATCCACATCTTCTTTGGACTTCAAAGTTGCAAGATTTCGGTAGCTACAGTAAGCTCGGTCATATCGAATTGCTTCAAACCTAGGGGAATATAGAAAACCAAACCAAAAATTAATTCATCCTAAAGCTAAAAAGAATGAATTAAAGAAACAGTAGACCTAGAAAAAGAGAAGTTACATAGAAAATCTACAAACGCAAACAATGAAAATAGAGAGCAAAAGAACATACTTGCACCAAGTTTCATGCGTTCCTATTTCCACCATTGCAAGGTGGTGACGCCTTTCTTGATTAGCAACAGGAAACTTATTACCCTGAGCAACATATGGATCTGAGGTATATCTGCCAGGAACAATCATCCTCCGAGGTACATGACCGTGAGATGAACCACTAAGAACAATGGAAGATTGTGCATGAGCTTTAGGAACAGGAGCAGCTGAAGGAGGTCTAGGGGCACTCCCGGATGACAAGATCTCTACTTCTGGGCTAGAAATAGCCTAACAACATAAAAATAGCAAAAGAAAGAAAGGATAAGCACAACAACTTGAAGGGTGAAGACATTTAAAAAATAAAGAAGAACAAGGGAGAAGGAAGAGAAAGATGAAAATACTTGTTGCTTCCTAGGATTACAACTAGTTGATTGAGGTGCTGTAAAGTTCTTGAGCTTGTTGTAAGCAACATCATTAGATCTTGAGAGCTGTTGACACCTAGCAGCAAAACTAGAAGTGCCTACAATTTGAATGTCGTCTTGTAGCTCTTTAACCTACATTGATTAAACATGCAAGAAGCATTAGAGAATCAGTACATTAGACAAGACCTAAGAAACAACAAATCAGAAAGCAAAAAGAAAAAATACAAGAAAGTTGACACAAGCTTGACAACAAACCTCATTAGTAGGGTGGCTTGAGCAGTGAGTTGACTTGGAAACTTTAAAATTAGGCAAAGCGGCCATTTCAACGCAATCCTGAAAACACAACAAATAAACAATCCAAAAAATCAGAATACAAACAAAACCAACTACTGAAAAAACAAAGAAAGTAAATAAAATTCAGAAATAATTACCTCATAATTTCGGGGATCCAGCGAATTCATAAATCTTTCAACAACATACTGAGAGCACTCAACATCACCTAGCTAAACAAAATACAACCAAACAAAATCACTACTAATGTTCCAAAAAAGATTACAATGGGAGTACAATGGGAGATGCTAACCGCATTATGGAAACGCTGCGACAAGCGAATAGGAACCAGAGGGGACGGTTCTCCAAAAGAATTATCGACCTCTTTATCATTGGGCTCACCATTGGTAACATCGCCATTAGATTGAACACTAAGAGTGCGATTTAACTGAGCAAAAGTGGGTCTTTGGAAACCATTATCATCGGACTTGGGTTCGCATTTCTTAATAAGACCAGCTACACAAAACACAAAACAAGAGGGTGAGTTACAGAAATTGTTTCAAAACAATATCAAACTATACCAAGAAAAATAAATAAACACACAAAGGACCTGAGGGCTCCAAAGTAGAACCAACAACAGGAATTGCACACCGCGTCGTTGAAGGGGATATACCTACAAAAAGAGAAGATACAAGCACAGGTGAAGAAAAAAATAAACAAGACACAAATAAAAAGGAAAATGAAGAATACAAGAATTTAAATAAGAGAAAAGAAAAGCTCAGACCTATAGAATGAGAAGGACTTTTTATAGAAGATAAATCCGCCACTGGAATTGCAGCTTCAACATTTGCCTCATTTACCACGCCCTGCAAAAGAAAATAAAAAAAGAAAAAAAATACTAAATCATCAAGCGAATATAAGACAAAAAAGAAGAAGCACTAAATACAAAGTGTATAATACCTCATCACACACTTTAGGAGCTCGAGATGAACTAGATAAAACTACTGGGTTGTGAAAACCCCCAACACTAACAACACCAGAAACAAAAGGAGAAGCTTCATTCAAATTGGGGATTTGCTGCTGGACTTCAGGAGATGATTTCTCAACAACAGTCTCACACTTCCTCTCACCAATGAAAGATTGAATAGAGACAGACTTGGCGCCTGCAAAAAGGATAAAGAAACAACATGCGGAAGGACAAAAAAGTAAGATCATACAAGCAAGAAATACATAAATCAGAAAATAATAACAAAACAGGAAAGAACTTCAAAAAGGAACTAACCAAAAGAGAACTTGTTGAGAGAATGACCCTCACTTGAATAAACTTTAGGTATCGGGACAGATTTGGCATTTAGAGTAGAGAGTGATAAGCATTCTAGAACGTCAATTACAAGGGACTGTGACCATTCTACAAATAGCTTGGGCTTGTCTTTGTTCCTAGATTGAACAAGGTTTATGACTACTTGAGCAGCCTGAAAAAAGTTCAATAAAACAACACAATTAAAAGAACCAAAGCAACAAAGTGGAAAAAGAGCAGAAAGTACAAACCCAAAACTACACTAACCTCAAACCCAAAACGAGCACCGAAGGATTTCTGCACATTCATTTCAAAAAGCATGTCACTACAAAGGGGAACATCACCATCTTTGCTTGCTGAAGATTTCTCGATAGACTTCTAGAACGAGAAGGAGTAATTCCATATGAGAACATACTGAAAACATAAACAAGCAAAAAAATAATTTTAAATTTAAAACAAAAGAACAAAAATAACAAACCTGCGGATTAACTGGAGCAAACAACCGCTTTAGAGGCCTCTTGCCATAAGAGCGGCTATTGTTTCTGTCAAGCTCTGAAAATTGCTTAACTTTGTTACCTCTCCATGCTAGAATCCAGGGCTTGACATCAGGGACAGAATGGAGACCGAAATTAAGTTGGTCAAGGTAACAAACCTATAAACAACCACGCAAGAAAGAGATTAAAGGAAATAACATAAAAAACTTAAAATAAAAGTAAAGAAATAGAACAAGACTTACAACAAAAGCATAGTGACAACCACCAAACGTCACTGATCTTTTAGAAGCAACTTTAGTGGAATTCTTGAACTTTTTGATGCTGCTCAACAACCACTCATAAACATATCCGGACAAATCATAGTTGCACAGAGAAGAACAATCCCTGAAAATATGCAGGTACTTCGGGCTAGGACTGAGGCTAGAGTTGGGACAAAGGAATGAGGACAACGCAACAATCATGAAGCAAATGAAAATGTCTTCATCAGACAACTCGACTTCGGTGGATTTAAGCTTGTTGGCGAAGAAAGAGACAGGAGGAATACTAGAAACATTGAAGTGAGACAGGATAAAATCACGTCCAGACTCAGGATCAGACACAAGTGGCTCACCATCTACTGGGAGGTCAAGGATATTGTGGATATCATACTTGGTCATTGGGATAAATTTCCTTTCGAACTGGAATTCAGATGAAGGGACATCAAACCTACTAGCAAGCCACTTCACTAGCCTAAGGGGGACCTCGGTCCTAACAAAGTTTAAGAGATAGCCCATGCCATATGTCTGGATGACATTCTGATACCTAGGACACATTCCAGCAACAACACCAGAGAAGAACTTCCCAGAATATCTAGTGAAAGTGGAACAAGTGGGGAAATAAGTAGATTGTTTCTGCCTCTACAAAACAACAAAAAGAGAGACACAAATGAAAAACATAGGATAGAACCGAAACCAATAAAACTAAGAAAATACACAAGGAAGAAAACATTAATACATTCAGATTACAACAGTACTTAAATAAAAGTACACAACTAACGCATAAACAACACAACTACGGTTGAAAACTCTGAAAACCAAACTTCTGTGGTTACCTTTGTATTACAGAAGAACAACAAAACTACGGAGGACAGAAAACATTACATGCTACCAAGGTAAATTACATATAAAATATACTACATGAAGCTATCATCTGGAAAAGCAAAAACTAACATTATATGAGAGCACGAAAATACAGGACATTTAAATAGATATGGGGAACTAACCACATTCCTCCTAGAAGCAGATGATAGTTTCCTCTTTAAGCATTTTACTTTCTGAAATGACAAAAAACACAAATGTCACCAAAAAGAAAAAAGCCAAATTAACAAAAGAAAGAAAGAAGTAAAAAGAAAAGAAAGAACATACTTGATTGAGATAGAACTTCAAAAGAGCCTTGTCGAACTCTCCTTCATCTCGAGATAGATCCTGCAAACAAAGAAGAAATAAAACAGACCAAAAATAATTAAATCAAAGCTAAAAGATAAAGAAATTAAACAACAAAGAAAAGAAACATAAATAAGTAACTACCGGAGACACACACAGGATGAGAACCATCTTCTGCAAAATCATTAGGCACAAAAGCTTCATCCACTGAATCTGCACTCTCTAAAGATGATACTAATGGAACATCCTGATGAGACACTTTCCGTAGCCTACCCATTTAAACCTGTAAATGGAACATAAAATTACACTGAGACTACAATCAAATTACACTGAAAAATCCACTCAAATTACACTGGAATTAAAATGGGAACACTGCACTGTAAAGTTAAAATAAATTACACTGAAACTACAATCAAATTACACTGAAAAATCCATTAAAATTACACTGGAATTAAATGGGTACACTGCACTGTAAAGTTAGAATAAATTACGCTGAAACTACAATCAAATTACACTGAAAAATCCACTTAAATTACACTGGAATTAAAATGGGTACACTGCACTGTAAAGTTAAAATAAATTACAATGAAACTACAAATCAAATTACACTGTAAAATCCACTAAAATTACACTGGAATTAAATGGGTACACTGCACTGTAAAGTTAGAATAAGTTACACTGAAACTACAACCGAATTACACAGGAAAATCCACTAAAATTACACTGGAATTAAAATGGGTACACTGCATTGTAAAGTTAAAATAAATTACACTGAAACTACAAATCAAATTACACTGTAAAATCCACTAAAATTACACTGGAATTAAATGGGTACACTGCACTGTAAAGTTAGAATAAGTTACACTGAAACTACAAACAAATTACACTGGAAAATCCACTAAAATTACACTGGAATTAAATGGGTACAATGCACTGTAAAGTTAGGATGAACTACACTGTAAAATCCACCAAAATTACACTGGAATTAAATAAGTAAATTACACTTAAAAGTACGAAATGCTGGATGAACTACACTGTGAGAAAATCCACTCAAATTACACATAAAATCTGGGACAGGTTATGCTGCAAGACTGAGAGAAATTACATTACAATGCAAAAAATGAGAAAAAATCACAGTAGAATTAAGACGGCTAAAATACACTTAAAGTCTGTAAATCTGAGATGAATTACACAGTAAAACTGACATAAAGTTACAATGAAAATCTGGGAAAATTACACATAAAACTACACTGCAATTACAATAAAAAATCACCCTAGAAATTCAGGGTTAATTACACTATACAAACTGGGAGAAATTACCCCTGTAAGACTACAAAACTGATATTACACTGGAAGTCTGTGACGACACTGAAAAGGTCTGATCAAACAATTGACAACACTGAAAAGGGCCGAGCCAAAAGTACACAGAAATTAAACTTAAAATTCATTCCTGATAGAAGAAAAACAAACATGGTACAAAGGAGAACTACACCTCCAACAACAAATCAGGAGGCTAATTCATTTGAATACAAAAAAGGAGCTTGACACGAGCACCTAGCATCTACCAGTACATGAGCAGGGGCAAGAGCAGGAAAACACGCAGAAGCATCAGGGAGCATCCCGACACGAGCAGGAACGAGCTAGACATCTACCAGTACATCTACAACATCCCGCATGCTACAACTACAGGTATCCGCCAAGCTACATCTACAGAATCCCCATCAGCTACAGGAACATGAGCAGCTACAAGTACATGAGCACCTACAGATCGCCCTCTCACCTACAGGAACATGAGCACCTACAGGAACATCTACAGAAACATCTACAGAATCCCTCGCGCCTACAGGAACACGAGCACCTACAGGAACATCTACAGACCGCCCTCTCATCTACATGAACAGCTACACCTCCACAGACAAAAGGGGGACAAAGCCGCTGCATCTACAAACAGTACAAACAGCAGCGCGCGCGGGACGGCCACAACAACCAGAAGCCTAGCAATCTAGCGGCTGCACCACATGCGCGAGAGGGCGACATGAACTGACCTAGATCTGGGACGAACAAGAGCAGAACAACACAAGCGCGCGACGGGGAGAGAGAGAGAGAGGAACAACCAACCGCGACACCGGGGAGCGAAGGGGAAGGGGAGAGAAATCAAGCTCGAGTGGGGGAAGGTCTCGAAATCGCCATGGACGGGGAGAATCGCCTCCTGCTCCGCCGCTCGAGCTCCCCCTCAGCCTTATCCAAACAGAGAGGACGAAATGAAAAGGGAGGAAAGGCACGCTACCCCAAATTCAAACGAGACAAAAATCAGAGCCGGCCGGGCGCGGCGATATCGGGCACAGAGAAAACCGCACAACACAAAAAAAACGGACCCGGCAACAAGACCAGCGCGAATCTCCGTGCAGGAACGGACGGACAACGACTTGAATGTTGGCGAATTGCAAAACAGTCAGCTGTAAAATAGCAAAACCGTTTTCTTTTCTCTGGATGTGCGTAGCAATTTAGCGTCCGTTTGGGTCAGTAGTATCTGTGTCTTGTGTCCTCTTCTGCCTATCCGATTGACTGATTTATTTTTGGAAACTATTGGATTACAGCCGGATGCACACCGCTCGTTCGGCAGCCGGCTCGTTCGTGCGACATGCGTCGCCTGGGTCCCGCCCATGTGCCCATCTCTTCCTTCCTTATCTTCTCCCCACGCGCAACGGCAATCTCTCATTTCCCTTATCCTCTTTTTTCCCTGCTCATATGCTGCTCCGCGCTCCTCGCCATGACCAGGTGATGCAATCCCACGGAAACTGGCGAGGCTCCACCAGTGTTGTAAATGGCGCCGCCGCGCTGTGCGAGATAGCGGCTTGCTCCGGTGCGTGCCGCGAGGCGGAGCTGTAGGGACGCCGGCACGTCGCCGTGCTGCGATGCGTGCTCAAAGCAGAGCTGCGGCGAGGACGCCACGGTGCAGCGAGCTGCGAGCAGCATTCTGGTGAGCCGGAGATGTTGCAACGACGTACGAAGAAGCATGATGGCAAGATGTTGCAAGGTCGGCGGCGACGGCGAGGGAAGCAACGGTGCTGCGACGAGGGGACTTGCAGCAGTGGTCGTCGACGAACCGCTGCAGCAACGCCAGCAAGGTAAAGCTGTGAGCCGATGCTGTGATGGGTGCCGCCGTGCTGGGAGCCGGTGTTGCGGTAGCATCTCGATTGCCATGACGGCTCAACTGCTGCGACGCTTTGCTGCAATGGCGGCTCGGGCTGCTCCGGCGATGCTGCGAGCCAGTGCTGCGGCGGTGGCGCCGTGCTGCGAGCCCGTCGGTGCTTCAAGCCGGTGCTGTGACGGTGCCACCGCGCTGCGTGTCCACCAGAGTTTCTATGTGCTATGGTCGTGGTAGTGTAGAGAAGACAGAGGAAGGAGACCACGTAGCATTGACTTTCATCCACGGTTAAGGATGCCTAGATCGTACGGTCCAGGAGGTGGATGTTGTTTGCTTTTTCTACATCCGGATGGCGCCTAGCAGCCACCTTTATTTTTCCTGCATGCTTGCCGTGTCCTGCGCTAGATTTTGCGCTGTCTTCTACAGGTGTTGCCGCGTT